CCCACTTATGACTTATGACTATATATCGATAACCGCCCTCTCCTTCACATTGAGGCACCACGATATCTTACTATCGAATATTATTCCAAGGTACTTGATGCTTTGCTTCACTTGAAGGGTAACTCCATTCAGCTTAGGCTTGGACCAGAGCGGAACCTTGTATTTCTTGTTGAAGAGTACCAGATGATACCAAACCCCACTTCGGTTGCCCAAAGATGTGTTACCCGTAGTGATTGGCTCCAAAAAGTGAGCTTAGTGTGGACAGAAACTTTCCGCTTACTATGACAGAGATATCATCCGCATATGCAGTAAACTCGACGGGTCCTCCCTCCATTTTCTTCAGTATCCTGTGGACCACCAGCGACCAAAGTAGCGACGTACTTACGTTAACCGGTTTGGTGGACTCATGCCTACTCCACTGCGCCGAAACACTTCTGCTTCCTTTAAAATTTACTTATACTAATTAATATGTATGTATGATTATGAACTAGAATATCGAAATGCAGAGGTCAACAGGGGCGTCAATAATTAAAAAGCCTACTCGTGGTAATTGTGTAAATCCGCCACTGCGCATAACCAATTGAATGAGTTTTCCACTCGACGCGCTGAAACGTCTTGATTTCGGACGAAGCAGTATCTTTGATACTCGTAGAGCACCCTTTGCGCGATGAGTTTTATAGAATGAGATTGGCATCAATTACCTGTTGCCTGGCTAATTTGCATGCAAACATTCAAGTGCAACTTACATACATATGTACGGCCTTTTATTCCACCATACTGGTATGTATGTAAGTACATGTGCACATACATACATACATGTAAATTAATTGTGCTGAACAAGCGTCGGAAATGCTTTGAGTCCTATAACAATTACTAACGCATAAGCAACCAAGTACATAAATATGCTAATATAGTATACTTACTTATAAGGCATATATATAGTATGCATTTGTATGTATGTATGTAACTGCTGCACCTTTTGTTTTTTTGTGGCTTCGAAGCGCTAAAGATGCCATAAAGAAAACGTTTTAATACGCGATAGTGCTAAATACTTACCATAAGCAGCCGCTATTCTTATATGCTTGTGGCTAACCAATTGCATTTATACGCAACTGGGTATATTTACATATGTACATCTGTACATTTGGCCACTTTTCGCTAACAATTCATCGTCGTTGGCATCATTGGTGGAAGTGGAGCGTGGCTATCTTTAGTAAACTTTCGCGTCGGTCACTGTGAGTGCCCTTCAAGTGATTCAGCGCCTAATGAATACCAGAACGTGTTGATGACTTTCTACCGACGTATGTACATACGGACATACCACTCGGTATAAAGTATATGATGCACTTGTTTCAGTTGGCAGTCGTGTAATGTGGGGCAAACAGTGCGAAGTGTGAATGCACTCAATTAGAAGAGCGAATGAGCTGAAAGCAACAACAAACATACCGATTTAAAGAGTGCTTTCTATGCCGCCTACCCGCCGCAAGATATGTACAACAGTAATTAGATAAAGTACTTTTCTGCTGATAGTAAATGCAATGTGTATAGAGTTGATGTGTTTAGAGTTGATTTGACGGACGTAAATTTATAGGGAGACGATAGATTTCAGCCTGTTTCAGAGCAATTTTAATTAAAAAGTATAAAACATCATAAAACACGGACAATTTACAATACTCAGAGGGCAAAATATTGAGCTCTTCAAAATAAACGCTTTCAGATAGGGCTTTTCGAAGAAGATCAGCTCTCTTGAAGCTGAATTAGAATATATTCCATTAGCGCCATACGAGAAGGTGTGTTACCAAGGCAACTGAGGCCAAATAAAGGGAATAATCGCAGTAGACACGCTGGATTTCGGTATGATACTGAGTGGGGCGAAGGGGAGATTTCTGGTAGCAGATATCTAGACCAGTGTTGCCGTTTAGCCCTTTTGGTAGCTAGAATTAGCTGCCACATAGTTTTTTTGGCCACAAAAATTTTAAATTCCACGTTTAAAATAGATAAGTTTACGGTCCGCAATCATCATCATATATATAAATAGGCAATCATGTTTCCTTTACACCCCT